GCTGTTCCCGATGGACCTCTTCGGGCTGAGCTTGCGTCTCTGCCAGCATCGCTGCACGTCTGGCACGGGAAAATGAAGGTTTTTCCCAGTGCAGAGCATAGCAGCGGGTGAGCCGGCAGCGATCTGCTTGGGAGCTTGGTACTGATCTCAGAAAGCTTCTGCTGGCTCTTAAAGTTAGAAGAGAGATGCTGTATTTTTACCTGCAGATATATTTCAAATCCTTTAAAATTTGCTTTCTGCATACTCCCCATTGTTTACAGGCTCTTATTAACAAAGCATCCCTGTGTAAGGCCTTCCACAGGTAGAGAGCAACAGGCTTTGCCACAAAGAAGTGTCTGCATCATAGCTAGAATTTATCAAAATAAAGGAAAATCCACAGAGGTTCTTTCAACCCTATTTGTTTGCTTTTTTAAAAAAAAAATCCAGTCTCACTAATATTTAACTGTCATGTAATCTAGGCAGGAAAAGGCTCAACATGTGGAGGACGGGGGCAGTCATCCCAGCAATTTTCCTGTACTTCGGCAGCTGTAGATATTTTGTAGGTACCATTGCAACAAATAGTCATAAAAAGCCCACCAAAGGATGATAGTGCTGCTGTTCTCCTCATCTATTAAGTGCCTTTTTTGTATTTCTAGAGAAAGGCAGGCAGGGTGTGTGAAGGTGTACAGCAGAAGCAGAGACCCATGGCTGCATGTGTTGACAGAGCAATGGCTGGAACAAAAATTAGGGTGGAGCAGGAGGTCCCAATGGTGGGATTCACTGGGATCTACTGGGATCATCAAGGAGTGGAGTCAGCACAAAGGGCAAGACTGCAAGCTTCAAAGCTTGATCAAAGATGATGAGGTCTAGGAAATAGCTGGGTCCTCTCTCTTCTTTTACCCTTACAACTTTTGAGCAGATTTAGCACAAAAATAGTCCCCGTATGTGTGTTTTACACTCTCTGTTTTGTGTTTGCCCATCCCTTCAGGAACCAGTGAAGACCTATTCCAGGACTCTGAGGGGCGGGAGGGATCTGAGCCAATTGAGGAACACCAGTTTTCAGACCTAGAGGAATCTGACGATGATGATGACAATGAAGATGAGGAGGATGAGGAGGAAGAGGAGAGCCAAGATGAGCCACCTTTAAAATTGCCAGAAGGCAAACATACCACCCTCCTGATGCACTCTTCAGGTGGCTCTCCATCTTCTCAAGAGGAAGGCACTGAAATAGCATTGTCCTTAGCCGCAGAAACTGTTTCCAGCAGCCAAAAAACAGGTGACGGCCAGCAGGCCTCCACCTCAGGGCTGGAAACAAAGTGGTCAGCAGACAGCAGTGACATTGCTGTGTGCCACAGCTTCTTGAGTCTCCACAGACCAGCTTTGACCTCCACTGAACAATTGGCTTCTGCTGAAAAAGAGTCTGTCACAAGGCCACAGATGTCCTTAGTTGTGGACCTGTCAACCTCAAAAGACACGTCCCCAAGAAAAAGGTGGTCTCCAAGCCAGGACTCTGGCAGAGGTGGTGGCAGCAGCAGACCAATGTTAGCGAGAAAGCACCTATTAACCAAAAACGAAACTTCACCGAAACGGTTTTCACCAACTGGAGAACTGTCTTCTCTAAGGTGCCTGTCTCCAGGGAGAGGGTTGTCTCCTTGCCAGCGCGTCTCTCCCAGGAGGGAGGCATCGCCGCTGAGATGTGTGTCACCAAGACTTGAGCTGTCGCCCAGCAGGCATCTATCCCCCAGAAGAGAGCTGTCCCCAAGAACATACCTTCCACCAGAAGGAGAAGTCTCCCCTGTGAGGCACTCGTCGCCGAGCAGAGAGATGTCATCAGTCAGATACTTACCGCTGAAGAAAGTCTTGTCTCCAGGCTGTTCAGAGTCACCTAGGTATCCATCCCCCGGGAAGGAGGACTTGCCTGGTACTAGCAAATCAGCAGCAGATGACATAGTTCAGAGCTCATATCAAGCCCAGCATGGGATATTATCTTCAATGCCTCTACCTCACAGGTTCTTTGGCAAAAATGTACAGCTCTACGAGTCCAAGCTGGTAAGTTCAAGCCCCTCTTGCCTTCTAGTCCCTGCAATACATTCTCTGATGTTTTTTAATGAAAGTTGCAATTCAAAGGTGCACAGTGACTCTGTGACCGATGTCACAGGTAACCCAGAGAAAAACGACAGCGGACAGCAATGGGATTTGCACCCATTCTGGTCCTGCCCATCTCAGTTAAAGAGAAATAAAGTTGTCCCTTCTCCAAGGGATTACTTACACTCCTGACCCAACCAGTCTCCTGCTGAGACAAGCAGTAAGGATGGCTAGTTGTCACTAAAAGGCTTTTTTTTCCTGGGAATTTCATAGCCATTTCTGAGATTTCACCAGCTGGGGTGAAGCTGTGACCACTTTTCACTGGTCAGTGACCTGAACCAGGTCTGAACTAGCCACTGCACTCTATTGCTGACTCCTGGGCTACGTACATACGCAGCCAACTCTGTTAGATTAACTGCTGAGAAAATGTTTGTTTGGGCATCTCTGATTTCATCTCGCCTCTCTCTTCAGCACAGAGAATTGTTTCCCACTGGGTCCACAAAATTATTTAATCTCTCTGCTGAACATATCAAAAACTATGGGTAAAGGAAAATCGCATGTTCCTCCCACTGCTCCAGGCAAATTAGACGTCGGGTTTGGTGGAACGTTTCCCATTTCTGCTGAAGTGCCTGGCTTTCCTGTAATTTATGCTGATGAACATGAGATTCAGTTGCTGGAGTTGATCTGCTGTGAAACGGGTGTGAGGAGAGACTCGAGCCCTTAGGGACTGCACTGGGAAGAGAGAGGCCTTTATACAACCCCTGGAGAACCTGTCACGGCAGATGGTGACCCAGGTCTTCTCCAGAAAAGCCACGCTGCCCAGTGTGCGTTTCTTCCTTGTCTATGATAACGTACCGTCTTTTTGTGCTGCCTTCCTTCTGCTTTCCACTATGAGTGTTTGGCTTACCTTCTCAGAGACTATCCTTTGGTTTAGGTCCAGACTTTTGCTTACTTTAATGCTATTTCCCTCTCCTGTCAATTAACTTCCTGTGGTGAATCTCGGGGCTGTGGTCCTTCAACTCTAAGCACCTCTGTCAGGAAAACTGCCCACTGCCACTACTTGTAGCAAACCCTCTAAACTCCCTAATCCACAGTAGGAGACAATGTTATAGACCCCTACTTACCTGCCCATTCACACCTTTTAACTTAGCCTCTCACACATCACTTTTTGCTCCATTTTCCTGCTCCTTTCGTGCACCCAACGCCACCAATGTTGGTTTTCTCACGTGCCGCCAAAGGAACAGTAAGGAACTGAACAGAAGACTTTCCATTCAGCAGCGAGATGGGCAGCTGGGTTTTCATTGCAAAATTACACTCCTGGTAAGGCTACAAGAGACAGAAAGATCAGAGGTGGATTTATCAGATCCCAGATGGAGCTCTGTGCTCAAAACTGGTGCCCCATACGTTGCTTACAAACTTGGAGACAATCCTAGCTCAGCTTCAGTGTAAGGTTTTCTGTCGTCTGTGCATCAGGCCTGACCATGACCATCCCTCTTCCCACTGGCTCTTGCAGTAGGTAGTCTCTCCTTCTGGTGGCTGTTGCACCATGGAGACGATTTGTTTGGGGGTTTTCCAGCACCCTTATAGTGATTCTGCCAAGACTTCATGTGGATAAACGAGATTTAGCAAGTGTTTGGGTTTGTAACTGCTGACCAAGTAGACACTATCTTCCGTGGCTCTCGCTTTCTCTCTCTTCTGTTCTCTTTTGCTGCTTTCCTCTGTTGCCTCTTCATAGAGATCCAACTCGCAGGGTCAGGCAATTCTTCATAATCCTACAAAGAAATATGCCCTCCGGTGAATCCTCAAATTTTATAGCTAACCCCATCTTAATGGAAAGTTGATTACAGTTTCTGTTGTTTCCTCTTCTTGGGAGTCCTGTTTAGGGGTTTAGTTATAACCTCATCACTAATTAATCCATTTCTGTTTAGCCACATATCTCTCCATGATGTACGTTAGGAAACTATGTGAAGCACCGGGAGAGAAAGAGGAAAAGGTAAAATGGTAGGGTCTTAACCCTTGATTTCTACAGACCACACCATGAGGGTGGTGGTGGGGACCACACTGATGGGTGTGATTTGTGTCAAATGAGAGTTAGTACTATCTCTCACTCAGTCCAAAACATCCTTGCAATTAGCAGCTGTAAGGATGTAATCCTGCTTTAAGAAATGAGAGTAAAAATAAATAACATTATTCTGGGCTCTCAGAAACCCCATGTACTGAAAGGGATCCAAAGCGGCTCGGACGGCAGGAAACATTGGCATCCTCTGTCAGGGTGTCAGAGGCACCTCTGATAATAGGACAAGGGGTAATCATTTTAGACTCAAAGAGGGCAGATTCAGACTAGATCTAATGAAGAAATGTTTCACAATGAGGGTGGTGAGACCCTGGCCCGGGTTGCCCAAGAGAGGTGGTAGATGCCCCATCCCTGGAAACATCCCAGGCCAGGCTGGATGGGGCTCTGAGCAACCTGCTCTGGTTGAAGATGTCCCTGCTCACTGCAGGGGGGTTGGACTAGATGGCCTTGAAAGGTCCCTTCCTACCCAAACTATTCTATGATTTATAATGATCCAAGCCCGAACCAAATCCCTGGATCTGTGCCCCAGCAGACCCTGGGCTTATTTGTACCCAGAAGGCAAACACTGTGGGTTGTGTTGCTCCTTACCTTAAAGGTTTGGGTGTCCAAATCCTCCTCAGCTGATTAATTTCCCTCAAATTAGAACAACATGTTAACAAAATCAACCCTTGTAGTGAACATTAATGATGCTAATGCTGTAACTTGTATGTTGCACTAATTCAGCTGTTTCTTTTCCCTCTCTGGTGCAGAAGATAGAACCACGAAGCCCAACATGCTCACCTGGCATCACACAGCCTGTCTGCTCCAGACCCTTGCAGGCACCTCATGAAATACACGTTCACGCTCCCAGCCGAGGGGAGGAGAATGTCTTCAGCCACCTCCCGTTGCATTCGCAGCAGCTCACGAGGACCCCGTATCCTATGATTCCCATTGGGGGCATCCAGATGGTCCAGGCGAGGCCAAGCACCCATCCCAGCTTGGTGCCCAGTTCAGTCGTGTCCCTGCAAGCGGGACACTTTGCCTCTGGCAGCAGTGGCTTCGCAGAGTTCAGCCGGGCTCCCGAGAGGGACGAGGAACCGCAGGTCTTGCGGGAGCCGTCATCGGCATCCGTCTCCCCGGTTGCAAAGGTTTCTAAATACACACTGTCCCCAGAGCTTACGAGCAGTGGTTACTTAGAAGAGAAAATGAGGACTAGTGAGCTTCAGCAAAAGACAGACCAGGAGGAATACAGGGTAAAAATGTTCGCTGAGTCTAGCCACGCGGAGCAGGCAGGCTGCTCGGCACCCCCAGCCAGCCCCAGCACAACCGACGAGCACTCTCCAAAGCCTTTGACAAGTGGGGAAGAACCCTTGAAAAAACCGGGCAAGAAGCAATCTGGCAGCTCGAGCACTTCTTTTGAATCATCCTGCACTTTCATCTCAGATCTCCCCTCCCAGCCGTTGGACCGAAGCAGCAGCACCGGCTGCCTCTCAGAGCCCCCATCGAGCCATTCGCACCCCCAGCCGCTCTCCGTCCGGAGGAGAAACCTCTCCGGAGAGCCCGGCGGACGAGGGGGAGCCTCCGGGAAGAGCAGTCCACACCGAGAGCACGCAGATGTAGGTCAAACTCAAAACAAGGTGGATGAAAACACGGGAAGTACTTAAGCCTCCGCCATCTGTTCCACCTTTAGGCTTCCTATGTAAAATCAACAGACACTTTCAACACTATTTCCTTTAGTATAATCATCGCGATAAGAAGCACTCTAGTGAATGACCAAACCCACGGAAGATTCCTGGTTTTCTTTGTCCCAGTCTGGTATTATCTCCACATGTATGCAGTTACTTGTGCCTTTTTCTATACCTTTTGTTGCTTGAAATGTACAAAAATGTTTGAGGCTGTGAATATTTTTTTAGAGTTTTTTGGAAAGGGGTTTGTTAGACCTTGTCTTTTTTGCCATTTAGGTGTGCGTTATTATGGGCCTGAGAGATGCAGAAAGGAAAGGGTTAAGCATTTTAAGAGGAAGACGGTGCACTGAAAACAAAAACAAAACAGAAAAACTTTTTTATATCGATTAAATGATTTAAAAAAAACCAAACCCTTGCTCCTGTGTACAGAATTTTATGATTCGTATTTATTACATGCTTTATTTAATTCTCGCAAAGTGCTTGTTTTTTTTTTCTTGCATCCCTCTGGTTGCCTATGGTCGTGCTTTAAACAGTTGAGACTGCTTTACATTTGAAAAACATGTTTACCCTGAGCTTGTAAATGAAAGTAGCACTTCCTTGAGCAGGGGGAGGTTCTTTCACAGCGAGAGAAATCGTCACTCACGAGAGAACGTGTATCCTGAGCGTCCCTCCCTCCTGCGGAACCCATCAAAGCACTTTTCTAAAAAGGGACAAAAAAAAAGGTTCTTCAAAGATGTAACTGCAAGAACATAGGAATGTATCGGCTCTAGACCCCGTGCCAGGAATGGTGTCTCTCGCTGGACGAGCAGGCCTCCTGCTTGCTTTAACCCTCCCATCCCGCGCCCGCTCGCCGCGCGCGCGGCCGCTCTGCCGTGCCCCCGCCTTGCCCTGGCAAAGCCGTGCCTGTGCCTCAGAGCCCCTCTTCCCGGGGCTTGGGAAGCCCTCTGTAAACACCCTCCCGTGGTTGAAAAGTGGGAGCAAACTCCACCTTGCCACCGTTTTTGCTCCGTAATGTTTCGGTTGCGGACAAGCTCCCTCCGTCCCACCCCGGCTCGGTCCCGGCTGGGTTTGCGTCGTTTCGCTCCGGGG